TTTTTTTTTTTTTTTTGCTTGTTGGCAATGTTGGTTTCATTGTCTTTTTTTATTCTTAGGAATATTTGTAGTGCTGATTTGATGGTCTTGAAAATACATTATTTTGCCATCAATTTTAAAGGAAAGTTTTGCGGGATACATAAGTCAGGGTTGGAAGTTATCTTGAAACCCTTCACTCCCAGCTCTCCTGGCCTTTAAGGTTTGTGTAGAGAAATCTGCTGTAATTCTAATGGGTTAACCTTGATATGTGACTTGTTATCTTTCTCTAAAAGCTTTTAAGATTTTATGCTGGTTATGGACTTCTGCTACAGAGATTCTCTTTTAGTCATGGCCATGTGGGGTTCTATATGCCTCACTTATATGTATATTTCTCTCCCCATATTTGGGGATTTTTCTGCCATTATTTCTCTGAACAGATTTTTTTATGCCATTTGTGTTATGTGTTAATTTTTTACTTATTCCAGTTATTCTTAGGTTGGTCATCTTTGCACCATCTAGCAGTTGTTGGATCCATTTTTTCATGTTCTCTTGTTTTTAAGAGTAGATGGTCTTTAAAGGAATTATTGTCTTCTAATTCTGAAATTCTGTCCTCAAAAAGGTTGGTTCTAAATCCTCAGTAGCATGGGAACACAAAGAATCAACAACTGGGATCTCTTTGGTTTTTTGAGACAGGGTCTCCCTATGTAGTTGAGACTAACCTGGAACTCACTATGTAGCCCAGGCTGGTCTTGGACTCACAGCGATCCTCCTGCTTCAGCCTCCTGAGTGCTGGAATTACAGGCATGTGCCTCCACACCCGGCTGACTGGGATCTCATCTTACTAAAAATCTTCTGCACTGCAAGAGAAACCACCAGCAGAGCTAACAGACAACCTAAAATGTGGGAAAAATTATTTACCAGCTGTTCCTCAGACAAAGGTCTACTATCTAGAATACATAACATACTCAAAAGAATCAGACCCCCCACCAGATACAAAGACCTCATTCAAAAATGGGCAACTGAAATGAACAGACACTTCTCAGACAAACAAGTAAAAGCACCAAATAATATGAAAAAATGTTCCACATCACTGGTCATTGGAGAAATGCAGATGAAAACAACACTGAGCTTCCACCTCACCCCACAAAGAATGGCTGCTAACAAGAAATTAACCAATAACAAATGTTGGCGGGGCTGTGGGGAGAAAGGAACCCTTCTCCATTGTTGGTGGGAGTGCAGACTGGTGCAACCACTGTGGAAATCAATATGGAAATACCTCAAAGAACTAGGATTAGAAGTCCCATTTGACCCATCTATCCCTCTCTGCTGTGTATCTTTCCAAAAGAATTAAAGGAATCATACCACAGTGATATATGTGCACCTATGTCTAAAGTGACACAGTTTGTAATAGCTAAAACTTGGAAACAGCCCATCTGCCCGTCATCCAGAGACTGGATAAAGAAGATGTGGTTTTTCTATAAAATGGAGTACTACTCAGCCATAAAGAATGAGAAATTAGAGTCATTTATAGCTAAATGGATGCATATTGAAAAAGGTGAAAGATTTATACGATTTGAAGAGAAACCAGAGTGATGGGTCCATATTGAGGCTACACTCTTAAGTGAAATAAATAGAACACACATGTGTAAATGCCAAATAGTTTCTCTGGTGTGAAAAACTAAAAGTGTAAATAAGGTTCAAATTGTATAAACTGACAATGTGAAAAAGGAAGAAAAGGCCTAAGGGAGTGGGGGAAGTGGGAACAGTAGGGGAAAGAAAAGAAAGGAAAAGAAAAAATTTCAAGAAAAGGAAAAAATGGAAACAAAGTCTTTTTAAGTAGGGAAGGGTGGGGGGTTAAGGGAGGTTAGGGGTATGTGGAAAAAATAAGAACCAAAATACATCATGTAAACTGTATTGTATACCTAAAATGTACCAATGAACTTAATTTTTGAAATGGTTGGTTCTGCTGCCCTTAATTTCTTTTTTTTTTTTTTCCTCATTGAGGTTATTGGTACAGTTTAGGTATACAGTACAGTTACATTCATCATTGGGATCTTGTACCTTTACATGAGAGGTTGTGGTTCTCATTTTTTCCCCTTGTCCCTACCCTCCCTTCACCCCCTCCTCCCCTCCCCATTTGCAAATATTTTATTTCCATGTTTTCATTTTCTCCTATTTTTTTTCGTTCCTTTATTACCTTTCCCCAACCCTTCCCACTTTCCCTACACCGTTAGCCCTTTTCTTCCTATTTCACAATGATGGGGGATTTAGCTCAGTGGTGCTGCCACCTGCCTTGCCCTTAATTTCTTTGTTTGTTTTTCTGGGGGGAAGTTTTTTTGGTACCAGGGATCAAACTCAGGATCTTGTGTTTGTGAGGCAGGCAGCAGCACCACTGAGCTAAATCCCCCGTCATGATTTTAATATAATGACTGAAGGCTTCCATGGACTCAGTGTCTTTGGTACAGTGACACTCATGTTTTGTATCATCTTGTTTAGCTCAATATTTTCTATTAGTGTCTTCTCAAAGCTCCTGCATCTTTTTGGTTATTACTTCTATCTTCTCTAATCCTGCTGAGTATCTCTTGGAGCTGTTTTCTAACCACCTCTTCCATCCTTTCAAGTAATTCAGGTTGTGGCTTATGCTATTCTGCCCCTTACCCCCACACCACCACTGGACTGACTTTAGGGAAGATGGGAGTTTTGGGAGATGTTTTGGGCTCAGGTTGGTAAATCTTTATTTGTTAGCCATATGAAGATTTCTTTGGTTGCTTTTTGGTGATGTAATTTGGATGTGACTACTAACTATAATCTTTCCCTACAGCCCCCACATCCAACCACCTTGCTTAATTTGGAAATGGAGGATACAGTGTACTTAGCCCAGTAACCAAATTCTCTGGGAACGTACTCTAGTATTGTTAAAGTCACAAAGGCATTACTTCCCTACAGCCCCCACATCCAACCACCTTGCTTAATTTGTAAATGGAGGATACAGTGTAGTTAGCCCAGTAACCAAATTCTCTGGGAACGTACTCTAGTATTGTTAAAGTCACAAAGGCATTATGAGCATTCGCTTAAAGAGAAATACCCACAATTGTGTGACCCTGTTAATAGCAAGTGAATCAGCTAGAGTAGTACCAGCCAAGACAAACTAGACATTAATATACCTTAAGAAGTAATTATGTAACTCCAATCCTAAAGAAGAAATTGGAATTTATGAAAAAAAATCGATGTTGCCTTAATGTATTTGACTTGATAGAAAAGAATTCAATAATAATTTTACAGAGTTAACGTTCAAAAAATTAGCAAAGCTTTACAGTTATACTACTAAAGATACAAGGTTTGAGAATGTGGGGTGTGAAAGAAAAACAAACTTCCAATATGGTAGGAGACGGAAGAGCAAGAGGGGTACACAGGATCTTATGGGAAGTGGTAGGATGGTTATAGAATAGGTAAAGGTAAGGGGAAATCTGGCAAGAAATAGAAGATTAAAAAGTGGGAGAAGAAAAGAAATTAAATAAGAGAAATATTGTGGGGAAAAGAGGGAGAAGAAGAAAAAAGATAGGAAGACAGAAGAACAAAAGAAGAGATCCCCATGCCCGGGAAACTAGTGAAGAAGAAAGAAGGAAGAAAAGAGGAGGAAAAAACTAAAACTAAAAACAATACTTATACTCACGAAAAAGCAAATAAATTTTTTAAAAATGTCTTCGTGATTTCAAACATGCTTTTTTCTTCCAGGGTCTATGGTTTTGAGGCAGTTTCCAAGTCAAACGATGCCCCTACTCTTATTGTTACCCTGGATGCAGTCACCAGCAAGCAGGCAGGGGAATGAGGGCCACAGTGCCAACTGCGGAACATTCAAATTCACAACTCGGGCTGAGCCTAGCCTCTGCCTGAGTCATATATCCTGTGCCCGAGGATACACCCTGAGTCATTGAGCTTAAAATCCACTGGAGGTCTTTTTGCTGGCCTGACCATGGCTTCCTGACCGTGCAAGTCTCCCATAGCTGTCACTCACCCAGGAACCATAAGAGTACAACACTGGGAGCCCTAAAAGGAAGCCCAGCTGAGGCTTTTCTGAGACCCGGGCTCAGCTGATCCCTCTGGAATGGCGGGCGCCACTGTCTCTAGGGGATGGCAGGCGCTCGGACAGGAGTCACTCACCAGCTGTTGCAGAAGACAGCATCCACCGCTCTGTTCTACCGGTGCATTTCCCTAAAGGCCTCCACAGTGCCCTGGGTTCACTGTCTCTGCAGATTCCATCTTCATTTCTCAGCAGCCAGGCAGAAAGTGCAGGTTACCGCTTCCTCTTTCCCCCACGGTGCTCTGTGTCTCTTCAGTGTATAGGCTCCAATATTCCTATCAGATTCTTCCTAGATCCCAGGTTCCACCTCACTTTTTTATTCCTCCCCAGTTGTTATTTTTCAGGACAACTTAAAAATTTTTGTCTTCCTTACAGGTCATAAAATTTTCTCTTACAAATGTGTCAGTATAATTTATCAAAATGTTCAATGACGTTTGTCTCCCGTTTTTCCTTTTTTAAGCACGTGGCCAGCCACTTAACATTTACTAGCTTTGGGGGTATTTGTTGATATACAGCATAAGCTACTTAAAGACCAAAAAATTAAACCTCTTCCTTTTTTTAAACAATATAAAATACTTTTCAGTGCCTGTTTATCTCCTGGAGAGTACAGGGAGACAGAAGAATGTCTTTTGAGGACTATTATTCTCTTAAATTGTTGAAAAGACAGAACTTTAGATTCCACAACTGCAGAGACCCTTTCTGGAAGGCAACCAAGACAGAAGTACCAGTAAACTCAAGGAGAAAAAAATAAAGAAATGGCTTCATGACTCATGAGCTAAGAAGGAGTCTAGACATACAAGCCAGCCTCAGCAGAAGGACCTGTGCTTCACCATGACACTGGACTAATGAGTCCTGACACCAGAGGGCATTGTGCCAGCAGACACAGCAACATCTCAATGCCAACTGGTATGGTCCTGATAACCTGATAACCAGAGGTTTTGCTGAGACTGTGATGCTGACTAAGGTGCTGAACTTGAATATGTCTTCCAGGTGGGGAATGTTAATACCAATAATGTCAAAGTGAATTTTGCCTCAGCCAAATGTGGCACAGCGTCACATTTAAGTTGATTTTAATCAAATAATAAAATGCTTTCTTACAATTCTAATTTTGTGAACTAAAAGGAATTCCTTTCATTAAAAATAAAATGTCATATGATTAGAGTACTGAATAGGTGGGATAAAACATAGACATTTTGTGCAGCCTACTTGCTTTCATGATGAATAATTTGATTTGTGAAAGGGCAGTGTCTTGCTGATTATTACAGCTTATTCCTGGCACACCAGTAGGCTACGGATTCCGGTATTCTGCATCCCATTCCAGACTTCTTTGTGTCACCTCCACAATGCCTCATCCTCATTTTTTGCAAAAGAATTGCTACCTAAACGTTCAAAGAAGACCTATTGTCTGTCCTAGGCTTTTGATGACAGAGGCAACTTCTCATTACATTACACAACTAATGTGGATTTGGAGACATCGGAAGATCTCATCAAAAACATTTCATAAAAGCGAAAGGGTATCACTGAAACCTTTTCATCTTGTTGCCAGTTCAGTTTCCCCTCCCAGCATCAAATGACCTCTTCAGAGCTGTGATGTGTTCTCAGGCCCAGACCACAGGAGCCAGACACCTTTGCCTTCTATTCTGGGATCTGACATATAAACTCCCTCAGTGGCCTTGGCCAATCCCTTACCTTTTCTGCCTTGGTCAGCCTGGACTACAAGATGATATCATAACTTTGCTGCAGAAAGGTATCTGGACGATGAGAGTCATCAAAAGCAGCAGTGGGAGACCGGGCACAGTCTTCGTTTCGTTCTTCTACTTTCTTTACTGCTTAGTTTTTAAAATCCAGAGAGATTTGTCACATCTTTTACAATTTCAGTAATCTACCTGTACACATAACAAGGGTTAAAGACAAATACTATGTTTATTTGCTGCTGTTACTTATGAAAAATGTTCAACCTCACTGGTCAGTCAAGAGACATAGATGGAAACAACACTGAGATTCCATCTCACCCCAGAAAGAATGGATAACAAGAAATCAACCAATAACAAATGCTGACGGATTGTAGGCAGATAGAAACCCTTCCCACTGTTGGTGGGAGTGCAGACTGGTGCAACCACTGTGGAAATCGATATGGAGATACCTCAGACAACTAGGATTAGAGGTCCCATTTGACCCAGCTATCCCTCTGCTAGGCATCTTTCCAAAAAAATTAAAAGAATCATACCACAGCGATGTAGGTGCACCCATGTTTATAGCAGCACAGTTCATAACAGCTAAAACTTGGAAACAACCCAAATGCCCATCAACTGGTGACTGGATAAAGAAGATGTGGATTTTTTTTATAAAATGGAGTACTACTCAGCCTTAAAGAATGAGAAACTAGAGTCATTTATAGCTAAATAGGTACACATTGAGACCATATAGTTTCTCTGGTAAGAAAAACAAAGTGTAAATAAGGATCAAAATGTATAATTGATATTGTGCAATAGGAAGAAAATATCTGGAGGGGTAGGGGAAAGGTAAGGGAAAAGAAAAAAATGAGAAAAGCCAAAAAAAGTGGAAGCAAAGTCTTTGTAAATAGGGAAGTGTAGAGGAGGTGAAGAGAGGGCAGAGGAATAGAGAAAAAATAAGAACCAAGATACCATTATGTAAAGGTACAAGACCCCAATGATGAATGTAAATGTATTATATACCTAAAATGTACCAATAAACTAATGGGAAAAAACATACTAAAGGTAGGTAGTATACTGTAATATCCACCCAGATGCATTCCATGCTATGTCGGACCATGTCCCCGATTCATACATCAATTCTAAGGGATCTACTATGCCAAAGCAGTGTAACATAATTCTGTTGTACCAAAGAGATATGAAAAGCAGTTTCAAGTTGTTATCAGAATTTTCTTCAATGTAAAGATATCTAAAATTTTTATCAGTATTTAAACAGCATGTTTTTCAAAAAAATTCTTTGAAAGTAAGTTCTACATGGGAAACACTGCATACATAGCACTATTTTGGAAAATCACAATACTTAATAAAAGACAATGAGATCTAAATAGTTGCACAATAAGCTTGTGAAACTTCATGGAACCCCAAAAATTTTCAAACTTCTTTGACCTTACAGCACATTTTTTCCTCAAGCACAAATTAATCATACAGATGGATCGGTTTCTCAAAATGCACAGTTTGGGGAACGCTAAACTTAAAAAGCTTTCTCAGAAAGGGAAGCTTCATTTGTCACAAGAATATCAAGCATGATTATCTCTGGGGAATTGTGTCTGATGGGACACAAACGCAGACCTCTTAAGTCTCTTCAATTCCCAAGATTCAATGAATCTCTTTCATTCTAGATCAGCAACATTGTATAGTATCTTACGTGTGTCCTACTAGACACAAATGCCACAAGTACTACTAGACAGATTCCTTAGATTTTATCTGTCCAATAACCTGAAAGGACTTTACAAATGAAAAAGGCTCAGCGTCAAGGAACATGAATAAATTACCTGTAGGTAGACACACAGCTAAATAAGTGACGTACCAAGAATCAGAAGCAAGTCTCGTGGGTTTTCTATTCCGTAGTACCACATCCCTAAATCATATCTATTCCAAAGGAAACTGTGGCTAGTTGGCTGGAACGGGAGAACCGAGCCCTCAAAGGTATGAGATGGTATTTTTGGTTTCAGCCTCACCTTTTACTTCCACGTATGTCTGACCTCTGGAATAAGCAAAGAGCAGTTGCTTATTTTTTTATTCTGGCATGTTCTTTACAGGAACGGATTTTGTTCATCTGTCAGGTCTCAAATTTTATGATGTTGCTTCAGGCCAGTCTTCCCGCTCACCTGTTGTGTTCCTCTTCCTAGTCACACTGCGGACTTGCTCTTCCTAGGCCTCTTGGTTGGGATCAGTAAACCCAAAGGGCTGGTACTTGCCAACTGCTTGCAAATACCTTCTACTGCAGCATCTCATTGCAACGCCACCTCTCATGACAACCAGCAATGTTTCCAATGGCAGTAGCTGTATCAGGGTTTATACTGTATCTTTTTCAAAATGCCAGACCCCTAAAATGCTTTGGAAGGAAGTACTAGTGAGCCACTGAAACTCTAAGAAGCTTCCGCTGCTGACCTGGGTAAGTAAGCATGTAGTATGAAGCTTTGATTTTAGTTGTGGCTTTTCGGGATCACTGCATAACCTAGCCCAGTGTGTTTGAAAATTTAGCTGCCTCATTATCACTGGGGAATCTCTTCTCCCAACAATATCGATTCCATAGATTTTGTATTTTTAGATAAAATTTCTAGATCTTTGGAAACTTCAATTTCTAAAAGACTCCTAGGTGCTGTGATCCTCCCAGACCACACTTGGAAACACTGGCCTGGCTAATGCTGACAGATATATCCTTTAGCCCGGTGAAGGCAAACTTTTTAGAGCTTTCAACAGTATAGACAGTCTGCTGCAGCGTGGGTGCTATAGGTTTTGCCATCACGGTTCTAGCATAAAGTTGTGGGCTCTACATTCCCAACCAGGCTCTATCCTTCCAGCACTTTTCATGATTACTCTTATCTATTTACTTACATGACTACTATTATCTACTTATTTATATGACTACAATTATCTATTATATGACTACTATTATCTATTACATGACTACTATTATCTATTTACCTACATGACTACTATTTATTCACTTATATGACTATTATCTATTTACTTATTTATATGACTACTATTATCTATTATATGACTACTATCATCTATTACATGACTACTATTATCTATTTACTTACATGACTATTATTGTCTAGTATATGATTACTATTAATCTATTTACTTACATTTTGTTTAATCTCTCACATTATGACATAAACTCCATGAAGACTGAGGCTTTTTCTTTCTACTAACACATACTGCCCAAAACACTGAACAATGATTCCTAGAATCAAAGGAGATATCAATTAGTCTATTTTGAATGTCTGAGATGCACCCTCTCGTGAACTTTCTAATAGTAACTAGACATCAAAAACAATAACTCCACTAGCAGATCTAGCTAAAATAGTGGCCCCATGCACCAACCCCTTTTATGGGCTCAGTACTATTTGAAGGGCCATCGTACAGGTTGCTGACCTTGAGGGTAAAACACGTCTCTCCTATGCCTTGATCTGGAGCCGTGAGGTCGACGTGAGTGGCTCTTTGGTCATTCGGGTCCTCTATAGTCCAGCCTATATATACAGTGCACATAAATGTCATGAATTTCAAGAAAGGGATTAGTACGTATTGCCTTGTTTGTGACAGAGAGATCTGCTGGCTACAGAGAGGATGAAAGAGGAAGACCAAGGACATGACAGGACATCACTCATTACCCGCTTCTGAGTCCATCACACACACACTTGACCAAGGGAACCTTTGTGCCACCTGATGGAGAAGACATCCATCATAACAGAGCCCAGAGCACACTCATTGAATCTTCCTGCAGATCTTAATTAATGGGAAAAGTAATTCCAGTTGTCTACTATTTATAGCAACTACTTGGAGAAAGTGGAGTTGATTCATGGATACTTGAAAGGAGACTCAGATTTATATACGATACACTTACGCTCACCCCAAATGGGGGACATCCCAGAAAACAGAATGGGCTATGATTGGACTATTGTTAAAGCAAGATGGGCAAGTGGGGTTTATTTATAAAATTCTTGTTCCATTTGTATGTGTTTGAAAATTTTTGTGATATAAAGTTGAAAATACTCTCATGGAGTGTATCATAAAGAAAGTAAGTTCAATTTACCATGTAGGAAATAAAGCAGATACTACAATGTCAAAGGCAGTCTTGTGGTTCCTGAGATGGAAACAAAGATATATTTTGATATTGTTTATACTGTATGTGAAGGTAGAGTAAGGAGGCAGTATATTCTCAACAACTGAGTGTAGGAATACATTTGTCAATGTTTGCTATTGTTTTTAATGCTTAATATCTTAGAGTTAGCCTTAGTGAAATAAAAGCTGTTCTTTGTGTAAAACATATTTTATATGTTCCTGCCATTAAGCAAAATTTTATCTCTCTTACAATAATTTTGACGGGGAAACTTTGCATTTGAACTTTAGGAAAAATGCATGGAAAATACATTGTCCCTGAATTCTCACATAAAATAATAATGTGAGTATTATTACAAAAATTTAATATCAGTTGCAACTTTTACTGGAACTAATCCTAATGTAAACTTAGATGGAGATTTTATATTTTTAATTAAAAACAAGTTCAAAATGAAAAAAAAAACTAGCTCAAGGAAATACAATAGATGTAGCAGAGTAGCTTTAGGATACTTATTGCTTAGCCACCAAATACCCCTGAACTGTCCAGCCTGTTCCCATGGGAGGACAAGACAGAATTTGTGGGCTGCCTTTCATAACTCCTTCCAAACCAGTACAGAGAGCAAGAATGGGAAAGGAAAGCCAAGGATGATCTTGAAAGTCAAACTCAGGTTGGAATTCCAGATCTTCCTAGCTGTGTGACCTTGAACACTAAACAGCTTAATTTACCTTCCTAAATCTCATCTATGAAGCAGGGAATGATATTACTTTATATCACGGATTCTCCTCTGATCAATACTTTATGGTGAATCTATGATTTGGGAGGAGAGGAGATGATTCAGAAGACATTCTGCAGGGCAGTCTGCCTTGGAGTAAAGGGAAAGTAGGAGGAGGGGAAGATGAGAGGCAAAAAAAAGGAAGCAGTGAGTACTCTGTGTTATTTTACTTCTTAGGGGAAGGTAGTCAAGAGCAAAGAAAGACTGAGACTGTCAAATTCACCTTGATGGTTTAGTCTGTACTGAACATATTTCCATTACCCAGGTGCCCTGGCAAGATACCTCTGATTTATGGTAATTGCATTATAATGAGGCACCACATAAAAATAAAATAAGCTGTAATTAGGGGTGACACTGTAGTTCCCTTAGCTCCTGAAAAAGAATCTAGGGAGGAGTTTGTGAATGTCATAAAGTAGAAGAAAATGAGTTCTCCAAAAAAGGGTCAGCTACAGCCCAGGCATCTAGGAGGAGCTTTGGATATCATGTAACCCTACTTTCACAGACTGAGTTTGGTGAGCGGTAGGTAACAAATGTATGTTCTGGTGTCAAGTCATTGCCACTGTCATTGCTTAGAGGGAAATGCCAAAATAAACAACACAGAGATTGGGGAAAAGGATGCTCCCTCCTGGTAGCCTGTTAAAGATTCAGACCAATCCAGAGAGCAAGGTGAAACAGGGACCAAACAGTCACTTCACTCTGCAGCATGAACTCGGCAGAGCTGTGAACATTGGATAAAGTCAAGCATGTGAAGCACCTGGCACACAGTAGGTCCTCAGCATTGTTCTTGTTGGCTTACTGGTACTGCTGCTGTGCTCTTCATCTAGATACAACCTTCACCCAGTCAGACGGTTTCTGCCTTCAACCTTAGTATCAGTCTTCTGACAGACTGCAAAAGTAAGTCATAGACACCCAAAACATTCAGCAATGGAGAGAACTGCCCAACACATAGCAAATGAAAGGCTTTTCATCACACCACTGCTCCTCAAAACTCTAAAATTCCATTCAGATACATCAGCTGTCCCAGTCCAGGTTTCTCCTTACCATCCAAGATGTTTCCTCTTCTTCTGAGCCTACCCAGCTTCACGGATTGCCCTTTCCCTACCAAGACTCTCTAGACATTTCCTTGCTTTTCCTTAGTCTTAAGAGTCTCAGTCCATTTCTCCCATTACTACACAGAGCGATTCTTCACCCACCCAAGCTTGCGAGTCTAGCTTACATATCCCATTCACCAGCAAGGGAGGGGCAGCCTTCAGCTACTAGAGTCTATTCCAAGAGTATTTCAACTTAAAATAGAATGTTTACAGCTGGTGGGGTGGCCCCAGGATTTTGAAAGGTGAGGGAAGAGGTCCTAAAATTTAAGTCCTACCAGCACAACTTAGCCAGATCCTGTGTCAATATAAAATTAAGTTAAATTAAATGAAAAGGGCTGGAAATGCAGCTCCGTATGAACACCTTATGTTTAATCTTTAGAACTGCAAAAGAATGAATGTTAGGATGCATCATAATCCTGTTTAGTCAAACTATTCAATCGTACAGCGATTTTTTTCCTCCTTACCAAGGAAATGCTTATTAACAAAACTTTGCTCTCCAAATCTTATAACAAGTGCTGCTCATATCTGATCTGTTAAGACATTCTCATGGTGTCTGCCTTCCAACACCAATCCTTTATCTCACCTCCTCTGTTCCCAGGCTGTTGATTCGTTTAGATGGACATTCAAACCCATGTTTATTTGCTGAAACAAGAGGAAAGACTGGGTGAGAAAAGGCAAAGTAAGTTAATGCCAAACTTGAAAGCAGATACAAAAGAAATCATCACCACTTCTCAGTGTCTTAATAATAAGTCACATGATGGACTACACTACATGGGTGTGTGGCAGAGCTCCACACATATATGCATCCAAATGTGCAAAACAGAAAAAAGCAAGCTTGAGGCCCAACGTTTCTTTCAAGGTTTAAACGAGCTGCTTTATATGAATAAATAAGTAGTATGCTATATTATTCTGTAATCTATGCTAACTCATTATTGAAATTCATCAAAAACAGTTACTTCTCATGGAGCTTTTGTCTTCTTCCTTCTCTCTCTAAAGATTTAATTCCAAACACAAGAGGAAGAAAAAAATGAGAGCAGACATAACCCAGTCAAAAACTTGGATTTATGGAGCACAACCTTGAAAATATTTTTTTTAAAACATCAAGCATGTGAATTAAAGCTCCCACCAGGCAGCTATAATTTACACAGCAAGCACTTGGCAGGTAATTCGAGCACACTGAGATACCAGTAGCAAGAGGATCCTCTTCACAGAAAACCAGACTTTTTTTGTGACACCAGGAGGTGAAAGAGAAACACATTCACTTTGTAGCTAGAATGGGTTGTTTCCTGTTCAGTGGGCATCTGGTAATAAAAACAAACACACAAGAAAGAACAAGAGAAGTATGTGGTTCCGAACCACAGTGTAAACTCCATCCTTATGAAAAGCAAACGGCAGTGAAGCCTGAGACAGTTGGTCCAATACAAAAAAATCCGCCATGGTTGCAAAATGGCAGGCAAGCAAAGTGAAAGAAAATGAAAATGCAAGACAGTGGACAGCTTTTGATATTTTAGAGCCTTTATTTTTATTTGTTTATTTTTCAAACAATCCCTTTTAGGGGTGTAAAAAATATCTGCAATTTTTTAAATTTCTTGGATGGCAAGCAATAAGGATTTGTACTTCTATCTCTGAAGATTGATACTATAGTTCACAGTTAGCCTGAGTCTAATCACACTGTCCTAAAGAAAAAGCCTACTTTCATACTTTTTCACAAAACTTAGGTGTAAGACCATATGTGCTTAGGAATAGACCTTTATAAAAGTGGGGATTTCTGAAATTAAGGACAGTGGTAAATCTCAACAATACCAGTTAATTTCTTGCAGGCATGAACAATTATAAGCATCCCTGAGCCCGGAAAGCCCTATTTCTGGTTTTATAATCAACTTTCTTGATCATGAAGTCTTTGAGTGGTATTCACCTTTTTGTAAGCATGGTCTCCAATAGAATGGAATTATTCCCTCTGTTCTGCTCGTGTGTGTTCACTCATTTTTTAGCTCTCTTTGGAACTTGGTACCATATCATCCCTTGCTTTTTCTCAGAACACATAGAAGCTGAAGATTCTAAAGACTTAACAGGTTAGCAGAACCACAGCAATGAGAAAATTTATTAAACAAGGAATCAAAAGACCTGGATTCTAGGCTCTGATTTGGCCTTGACTCGGTTGCATTATATGTAGCATGCAGTTTGCACTGTCACAGGGCTAAAGACACTTTGTCTTTATCAACAACAACAACAAAAACCCCAGCAAAGTTCCTATCACAAACAGGGAATCATAAACTGGTAGTCCTTGCAGTCTCTACCTGTCCTTTTGCACTGGTTAGTGTGCTAATGTTTAAATTAGCAGATTTCAAATACAATTGCATATTCTCAGATTTTCTTGGAAATTTGTCATAGCTCATAAACTTGCGTTTATTAAAAATTGCTCTTTGAGAGCTTGGACTGGAGGTTCCATTTGACCCAGCCATCCCTCTGCTAGGTATCTTTCCAAAGGAACTAAAAGAATCATATCACAGAGAAGTATGTGCACCCATGTTTACAGCGGCACAGTTTGTGTAATAGCTAAAACTTGGAAACAGCCCATTTGCCCATCAGTTGGAAACTGGATAAAGAAGACATGGCTTTTCTATAAAATGGAATATTACTCAGCCATAAAGAACATGAAAATAGATTCATTCATAGGAAAATGGTTACATATTGAGGATATAAGGCACATGTGTAAATACCGACTAGTTTCCCTGGTGTGAATAATCTGCAGTACAGAAGATCCTAATAAGATTACTGACACTGAGAAATGGGAAGAAAGGAGCTAAAGGTGTAGGGAAGGTGGGATGGGTAGGGGAAGGGTAATAAGGGAAAAGAAAACAATGTGAGATAATGAAAAGATGGAAATAAAGTGTTTGTAGATGGAGAGGGGAGGAGGGGGTGAAGGGAGGGCAGGGACAAGGGAAAAAAATGAGAACCAAGACCTGTCATGTAAAGGTACAAGATCCCAACAATGAATGTAACTGTACTGTATCCCTAAAATGTACCAATAAACTCAATTAAAGCTGAAAAAAATTGCTCTTTGTGAAAAGAGCATGGGTTTTCAGATTTGTTGCATCCTCACCACTCTCGATACACACAAACACACACACACACACAAACTTTTGCAAGGTAAATTAAAGTGTCTCAGTTTACCATCCTTAGTCTCGTAGAGGCAACGGTAGGTTCACAAGTGACTATGAGGCAAAAAGAGAACAGAGAAGCCACAGAACTCATCACACACTGCAGGCTTGAACATATAGGCACATTGACAAATGGATCACAACCTCCTGTCAGGCCGTCTCCCCCTTCACTGCTGGATATATAATAGATAAATAAATAGCAAGAACACATGTGATATTTATTTAGATTGCACATTAGACTTTAAAATCTCTGCCTAACTGAATGCATTAGCCGGTGTTTTCTGTTTATGTCTCCACAATGCCATGGAAACACAGTGCAGCATCCTAATGGGCCTCTCCTGGCAATAAATAAACAAAGTCTTTGTCTATTCATGTTTCGATTTCCTTCTTTTTTATGTAATTTACAACTTCAAAAAAGAAAACAGATCAGTGGGTTTTTTTTTTCCCTCTCTGCCCCTTCCAGTTTCCTGTCTTGCAAAGTACATCTGCAAAGAATACAAAATGCACCTTTCAGTGGTTGCTGAAATCAAACCAGCATTGTCAGCATTCAGAGAGCTGTGGACTCCCAGCTGGACTCATCTTTCCTCTGTATAAAACACTATGATAATTAAATTCCATAATGAGAATCGTGAAGCATTTCAGTCTAACCCAAAGAGCACTTAATATAGTTGTCTAAGGTTGAAAACTGATATAAAACAAAGTCTGGTGGGCTCTGCAGCCCCATTTCTGTAGAGATAGCAAAAGCAGTCACCGTCCTTAAATGGCTCCTGGATCCCAGTGACATATTCTCCCCTCTCTGGCTCCACTGTGTGTGGAGCAGACAAGCCGCTGGCTGCCACCCCCAGGGTCCTGGACAGGGTGAAACCTGAAGCTCAAAGTGCTGAGAGAACAGCACCTCCCAGACTAGCTCTGTGCTGTCTGGCACCTGCTATCCCCCACCAGAAGGTAACTTAAGACTTAGAAAGGCATATTTCTATCTGCACGAAGAGCTGAACAGATTTGATTAGGTGGCTCAAACCTGCAGAGTCCCTTGGCCCCACAGGGACCTCAATCGTAGGAAGAAGGACATGCAGCAAGCAGGTCACACACTTCTCCAGCAATCCCACAGGGTGCATTCCTGTGGGGATTTTGCTAACCCACTCTGAAGCAGGGCATCACCTGGCTGACAATCCAGGTGGTAGAATTTGTTCTGGCTGCATCCCAACCTCAGACATCATATGGTGAGCTGCAGGGCCAGGATCTGGCAAGTCATGTCTATTTTCATTACTCTCAAAAAGCATTTTGTAGATGAGTTTTGAAAGCATTCGCAAAATAGACCTGTCATAGCATCTACCCAAGGAGAGACATTTTTCATCTAGCATTTTCAAATGCTGAATCCCAAGTCAGAAAGCAAAGTGTCCACAGAAATGCTTTCCTAGGTAATAATCAAATGTTATGGCCTTTGATTTTCTAAAGTGGTATATAATAACCTGTCCTTCTGAATTATGATTCTATACCCTTTGTGAAATAATAATAGCAACAACAGTATTATCATATAACACTTAGGTACTTACCTTGTGCTTCTGAAGTATTATTATTCCCTTGTCACAGATGAAGCAAAGTTCCAAGAGGTAAATAACATGACCAAGGTCAGAAAACCAGTAAGAGGCTGAGCTAGGATGAAAACAAGCTCTTCTGACTGAAAGACTCAGATTTCTCCCACATTTTCTAAGCACCTACTATGAGCTCCGCACAATATTGGGATGTTTTATCCATGTGGTCTCAACTTTTACATTTGTGTGATTCATTTCATCCCCACATGAAAACTCTATTAGGACTAGATTTTCCTATCCTAGATGCCAGGAAGAAGAGATGAAAAGTGCTATTTTATTTATCAGAACTTCTTTCTTTTGGGGACAAATTTTTGTTATTTTGTAGATTTTATTCCTAACATGTCTATACTCTGCCTGTCTCAGATCATTCTCATTTTGTACAGCTCATACTTTTTCTTCTTGTCATGTTTGTCTTAGATGTTGTACAAAAATCTTTTACAAATAGCCATGGTATAAATGCAGGCATATCTGCCTTACTGTCATAATTAGGTTCTGGAAAAGGCTCACATTCAACGTAATTGTACCAAAAAACTGTACAAAAATAATGGGGTTTCTAGGGAAAACACACATGAGACAGATGAATTCAAAACCTATGGAGCATTGTGGCAAGTACCCTATCTCAAATAATAGTGATATGAATAGAACTGTAGTTCAATTAACTCCCCTCAGACACATTTAAAAATCTCACTTATTCTATGCATACTTATAATCTGGGCTTCTGTTTCCCCTTTCAAGATGCCAGCCGCTGGTACCATTCTCCTGTAACAGAGATCAATTTCATCCAAATCCAAAATGCAGTTTAAGGGCAATCATCTTCATCACTTGGGGTGGGGGATGGACAATAATTACACAAGCAGAACTGTTTTCATGGATTTAATTGGTGCCTCTTCAGCCCAACCTAGGCAACCTCTAAGGATCTGAGTGACACAGAATGAGTCACATCTGCAGTAAAGGAAGAAGTATCTCTATTTTGAGACTTTTTAAACTTTCTGTACATACTCCAAAGGCTTTCCCTTTTACTTTGAGAAAAGCTTGCTGCTAACCTCAAAATATTAGCATGCCAGAGAACTTCCCATAGGAGCCACCTAGAATTTTATTCTGATATCAGGGATAGATGCAGCTTGTGTTGGTCTTCAATCCTCTATACTTTTGAAGTATTTCTTTAAGAAAAAGTATGTGAAATTACTAGGTTGAGAAGTAACTATTCATTTAGAATAAGAGCCAAATCACAACTCACCAATTTTAAAATGCTGATAATTGCCAAAATCTTTATGAGATACAGACAATTATTTGTTTTCATTAATTAATTGACCTGACCGACTTTGCTGACTCCATTTTCACTTTTACTCTCCTTGATCATCTCTTATTACAACAGCTAAATGATAATCTTTCCTATGGAGAAAGTAAAATTCAACCCCACCTCAAACAAAATTGACAAAAATCTTTTTTGTCATTGATAGTTTAGAGAAGTTTCTTTTGAAATTCCACTATTTGTTACTGTAATGTTTAGAATTTTTAACAATTGGGGGGAAATATTTATCAAGTTTCTTTCAGCTGTAAGACGAAAAGACCATGGGGCTCTGTAAGTTTGTGCATGTTGTCACTGGTCTTAAATATTTTGGGATTTTCAACATCCATTAAAAAGTTAGTTGTCAGTATCCTCACTCTACTGGAATATTAAGAGCTATGTCGTCTGTGTTCATGACTAGCAGAAAATTCAAGTTTTTCTACAATATCATATGGTTCCATCCTTTCATTTAGTGGGTTATTAAAAAGAAACCCAAGAGTCTAGGCATTTTTTATTTTAAAAAATTCCTTTGCAGTTTCTCTTTTTAAGGATTAATCTATTAAGAATGTATCTCTTGCTCCCAATTAAGTGCTTTTATTTGTACCACACTTTAGTAAATTTTACAGAAACACATTATCATCATATGAATGTAATGCTTCATTAGCTTTATGGTAAATCTGTTTCTGTTGATATCATTTTGCTATTCACCAATCCTATAAGAATAATTTGCATTAAGGAAACCTGTCGTACAGCAAAACAAACCCCCCAAACAAGCAAGTTATTAATAAATAAGAGCATGACATTTTGCCACAGTTGCACCCACTACTAGTTCTGAAACTATATAGATTTTAAAATAAGCACACTGTTAACACCAGTTGCCATACTAGTGAGCTCAACAGTAAGACTAATAAATATAAAAAAGCAACTCTTGGCCAAGTGGGACTATTTGGGATAATTTTGGTTGGTTGGTTTGTTTGTTTGTTTGTTTGTTTTTAATTGGACTGCTAGGCCCTTTAACTAAATTGTTGAAACTTCAAAGTGTGTCACTTAATAACTTAAGTGAGGACAGAGATAGATTTGACTAAGGCTAAGCCCTGCTGGCAGCAGTCAGATGCATTTTGAGAAAATCTCTCTTGATCCTTGCATGCCTGAACTTGCTGCTTTACTCAATTTCACAGAATTAATAACCTGTAGAAACATGTTAAATGTTAAATACTTTACAAGAAGCTAAAAATTCAAGAAAGTATTTCTGTGCAAGCATTAAGAAGAGTCCCCTATATTTTTGCAAGGCAAAGGAACTTACAGTTGGCAGGTTTTATAGATGGGGACGGCCGTCCAAGAAGCGAGAGACACAATTTTGTTTTGAGAAGAAAGTTCTGCTAAGAAAGCACAAGTCTCAGACACACGTTTAAATACTCATTAATTATCTGGTGTAAGAAACCAAAAGGGTAAATAAAGACCAAAATCTAAAAGAGATATTGGGAAATACGAAGAAAATGTTCAAATGGGAAGGGGCAACGAGGGAGGGGGGATGGGAGAAAAGAAGAAAGGGGAAGGAAAAAAAGGAATAAAAGGATAAAAATGGAAATAAGAGCTTATATAAATAATGAGAAGAGAGGCTGAAGGGAGGGGAGGGCCCTGGGAAAAAAGAATCAAGATATATTATGTAGGGCCGGAGATTTAGCTCAGCGGTTCGGTGGCCTGCCTCGCAAGTGCAAGCACCCGAGTTCAATACCCGGCACAAAAAAAAAAAAAAAAAAAAAAAAAAAAAAAAAAAAAAAAAAAAAAAAAAAAAAAAAAAAAAAAAAAAAAAAAAAAAAAAAAAAAAAAAAAAAAAAAAAAAAAAAAAAAAAAAAAAAAAAAAAAAAAAAAAAAAAAAAAAAAAAAAAAAAAAAAAAAAAAAAAAAAAAAAAAAAAAAAAAAAAAAAAAAAAAAAAAAAAAAAAAAAAAAAAAAAAAAAAAAAAAAAAAAAAAAAAAATTATGTACAGGTACAAATTCCCTGTGGTGAACGTCATCACTATATACAACTAAAACGAACCAAGAAAATTGAGAAACAAAATCTACAAAATAGTTTCCTTATTAAAAGTCATTATTTGGCTTTTTTCAATAAAAAAAGGAAGCGTGAGTCCCAGAGTAGTCTCATGGATTCAGGAAGACCATATTTATCAAGATGGGGGTTCATCTTACTCAACTCGTTAGAGACTCGTTCTATGGGACCCTTTGTTTTGTTTTCTCAGAAATCTTCTATTAATCCGCACAGGTTTCTGCCTGTAATAAAATAAACACAACAAAAACAATAAAAGAATGTTCATGGTTTCTATCATAGGCTTTTCAAATTGGCCATTTGTAGGGTGGTCCCAAACCAGCAAGGTAGATAGGGATGGTCAACCAGTGGGAAAGGCAGGCTCAGACCCTGTGTTTAATGCTAATGATATGAGCAAATTATTTTTTCCTATTTGTATTAGACTTTTAATTTAATAATGCTATAATTGGACTTTTTTTTAACTGAGGGTCGAACTCAGGACCTTGTGCTTGCAAGGCAGGTGGTGGAATAACTGAGCTAAATCCCCAGTCCTATAATTGGACATTTTATCAGATATGAAAATAATGTTTATTATATTAAAAAAGAACTACAAATATTAACAGTATTAACATTTTTATGCAGGTGTTTCAGCCCTTTTCTGTGTGTATCATAAAGTAAAAATAAAGCAAATGTATATATTCTGTTTATAATCTGCTTTTTATAATTAGCAGTATTGTAACATAAAAAGTCCTTCCATTTTGATATGTATTCCAGGCTCATCATTTTACTTTTCATAGAACACAGTACTGTATTGCATAGTTAAATATTATTTAAGCAAACTCTTCTTCTTGGACAAAGAATGCATATGTCATTTCTTTTAATAAAAATAAATTTTCAAGGTCAAGATGGGGACACAGATAAATTTTTATATACGTTGAAAAATGGCTTTCCAGAAAACATAAGTAGCATCAGTCTCCTAAATCTTTCCCAATCTGACCAGGGGGAATCATATTTTATTGTAGCAAATACTTTACTCATATCCTAAATTTAAGGGTTTCCAGAGGTATATTTTTATATTAAGTAAAATAATGAGTGTTCAATAATGGATTCCTTTTGTGTGTTCACATCAAATAATCCTCTCTGTTCAGATAACTAGTAACTAAAAGATACCACCATTAGGTGTAATTTACTCTGGATTCTCTGGAATATTAAAAATTATTAAGAATATGGTATCACTCTCAGTTTCTTTCTGCCTCTCTCTACACAACTCTTTAGTTTTCTCTGAGTCCCTCTTTCCATGCCTACTTCTTATATATGATTCTACCCCTGCAGATGTACATACAGCTCCTCTAGTCTCTCTCAGTACTAGTCTTGCCCCTGGTTCATTACACCTTTGTCTATCTGAGACCTGGACAAGTCCTCCTTTCCCTCAGCTTGCAACCTTCTTCCCTACCCAGGAGTTTCTCAAGACTCTGGTCAATTTTACTTCATGTGGGAAGACTTTCCTGACTTTCTAGATTGCCACATATGCATTTTAACTCCCTCTACGCTGCCACAGTGTGGAAAGCGTGGTTGTTTGGCCATTTACCCACTTCTTACAGGCAAATTTTACTTTTCTATCTCTGTTTCCTTAAGGTCTAAGAACCTGACATAAAGTGATCAGTAGTGCTGTTGAATAAATCCATAAATAATATGAGGAAGTATTTACTAGTTCCCTTCCCCTCAAATTAGACAAAGCTGAAGCCAAACAACTAAAACCGAACAAAACAACAGAAACTTTGGGTGATAATATTTCAAATGATAGTATTATTTACTAGTGAAATACATTTCCTTAATGAAATAGCTTCATTTCCAATGCAGAACACAAATGAAGAACATATTTTCAGAGAGTAAAAAAGAAAAATTTCTTGTTATAATACCCCACAACTTAAGTCAAAGGGAAAACCATTTTTTTCCCTCTTTAAAAACACCAACTATTATTTAAAATTCTCTTCCCATCACTCAAAGAAAGAGACAGCTGTTAATTCTGAGTTAGGTTTTTGCTTATCTGACCAACAGGGTCAGGATAATAAATTCACTCCACCCCTAGGGAATAATGAAATGCTTCATGGATTTATGACTTCACTAGGGGAAAAAACTAGAGAAGAAAACTTTCCGGATTCAGTTAGTTTTCAAATGTAGCACAATACTCAAGATAACAGGAAGATTACATATAGGTCAACCAAACGGGAGGGGGAAAAGTCAGAAACAGCATTTCCACTGCAGGAGAGGAAACGATTCATTTTTCAAAGATCTCCTAAAAAGAACCTTTTCTCTCCTCATTCCTGGAAATAGGACTTATATGTTCCCTGGTGGCCAGTTGTCCCCCCACCCTGTTCCTGGCATCGCCTGTTCCATTTGGGGCGGTGATGTTTGTGCTGCTTCTGCTAACCTGGCTGAAAACAGCCAAAGCTTCCCCAGGCTGTCACCACCAAACCTTCCTTGATTGCAGGACTGGTGACAGGACAACGTCAAAGGTCCTCTGGGAATGCGGGAATGAAGGCAGCTGGGGAAGGTGGGACACAAACACTACGGACAAGGAGCCAGGGCTCGGAAATGCATGAGGTTCTGCTCTGCAGAGACCTTATGAAGGCAGAAATATTCAGTTTGCACTGCGCATTATAAAACAAAGCCAAAAGAAGTGAAGCTATCAATTACACTGTCTTGTTTGATGGGAAGACTGTTTTACCAAATATTTATCGCCCAGAACTCACACTTAAATAAGACTGGTGCATCCTAGTTTTCTTCTGAAATGAGTGTAAAACTATTTTTCCTTTCCACTCTCTCCTCTTGCTCTGTGGTCTTCAGAAAAAATGCTATGTCTCAGAGGGTCAGAGCATACTTTCCTTTTTGTTTACTTCATCTTAAAAATATTGGGCATGTCTGATTCCAAATTACAGTCGCCCTTAAAGGAGATTATATGTAAGATACAAAGAGATTATATGTAAAATACAAACGTTACATAGCACAGCTAGAAAACATATCTGAAGTTCTTAAAATTGTGCGTGGCACATCACTGCAATATACCAAGTGTTACTTTTGTTCCCCTTCTCCATCAGAGAAAATCAATTACATATGTTATGTGTTCACTGAACACAAAATAAGGTAGAATAAAATGAAGGGATTTTGTTTTTCTAGAATCATTCTTAAGTTTTGCCTTTTTGGAATACACTATAATGTGCACATAATCTTGTGGAACTCTCAACAACACAGAAACAAAGTCTTGATACATGTCTATAAACCGGAAGATTGGTAACCTGATCCAGAGGAGGTGATTTGAAAATAATACCAGAAATTCTGTCACCAGCGAGCAAGACCTTTTAATGCAAGTCTCAGAATTCTCATCCTTGGTAGGCTTGAGTGTAGGTGTACTGTAGTTTTGCCTCAGTTGGTCTGAAATCCAAGCACATGACAACATTTTGCTTCTTTTACAAGATTTCCTGGAGCTTGTACTCCCTTCATGATCTTGGCAAAAATTTTTCTGCTAAAATAACACAGAATCCTCACCAAAACGGTGTGTTGCTGAAATGCCAGAGCACTGCTACTGTGGGCAGAACCTGCGAGTGACAGTCCTCACCTCCTACCTGGCCAGCTTTCTCTTCCCACAGTTCCTTAAAGTTTTCTTGGAAGAAATGTTATTTTTTCCCAAGATAAAAATAGTATTTCTAGTTCTAGAAATCCCTGACTCTTTCTTACCTTCCAATTTTAAGCAAGCTGTGTATATGACCTGGTTCAAAACTAAACTAGAAATTCTCATGGAATGTGCTAGACAAATTAAAAACCCTGAATGTAACGTTCCCATCTTCAGTATTAAAATAAAAATACCCCCATGTTAATGTTAGCTAAATGCTTTTATTCTCTGAACTCCATAAGTGAAAGATGATCCTGCTCATTTGCCAAACATCATCCTCTTGTTAAAAATAGTTGGGTTTTTCTTTCCTTTTTAATATCATCAGTCACCATCTAAACTCCTAACTAACATTTAGATTATTCAGGGTCATCTTGTATACAAGGACACTGAATTCATTCTTTTCCCAACAATATACAACTGCCTTCTTTGAGCCACGTGCTGCTCTTCATTGTTAGGAATGTAGCCATAGAATGACCTGCCTCAATTTCTGCAGCATTTGTCCTTCAGTGAGAGGAAATACACAATAAATACATAAATATATAAGAAACGAACTCCGAGATCAAAATAAAGTAGAGGGAGAGCACCAAAAGCCATGGAACAGTAGTTACTGCTCTAGAGAGGGCCAAGGAAACCTCCGCGATGTGTTAGGCATGAGCAGGTTCCTAGTGGGACTAAGGAAAGAGAACACGTGGGGTGTGGAAGAGCTCACCAAGAAAATCTTGCAGCAGAAGCACATGCTCAAATGCATGAAAAGCAAGGAGTCAGTCCATGTGGGTAGGGCAATTCAGCCACGATGATGCATTTGAATATAATATGGCGAGATGGAAGCCAGTAGAGAGTTTAGAGACCAAGAGTGACATCATGTGATTTATATTCTAAACAATCATTCCACATGGAGTGTGGAGAAGAGAATCCAGCAGAAGAGAGTCAGAATAGAAAACAGCAGATAAGGAAAACTTCTTAGGGAGGTAGCCAAGGAAGGGATGAAAAGTGGTCAGATTCAGGATATATTTCAATGTTTATGTCATATCCCACTAGATGTGGCTTATGAAAGAAAGAGAACTCCAGGCTGATTCCAAGGATCTTAATTTCAACAATTAGACATAACAGGTGCTATTTACGAGGAAGTGGAAAAAGTTGGATTTGCAGAGAGAAGAATCCAAAGCTCAGGCTTGAATGTGTTACACTGGAGTTGCTATGAGAGATCAAGGTTGAACGTGTGAGAATGGTGCTAGAATTAAGCTGAAAAAGTTAATCAAAGGGCATCATTTGACTACATATGCACCATAATCCAACCAACCGTGCTGGCCAGCTATTGCTGCAATAATGCCACATAGCACGTGACCCCAAAACTAGGTTTCCTGCACCAAGAAACAATTTTCAAGGTTGATACATTTGTGGGTTGGCTGGATTGACTCAACTTCAGGCTACAGTGTGGCCAAGTTAGCTTTAAAGTTACAGTCAGATTAGCCCTGTCCTACATATCCCATTATAGGATCTAAAAGGTATAAACACAAAATACTATCAGTGTTCAAATTTCAAAAAGAAAACAGTATACAATAAAAAAATGCTACCAATCACCCTCAAAATACTCCCTCTCCACCCCCCTCTCTCCACACACTTATCCCATTGTTTTTGCCACTTTCTGAAGCAGGTCTGGAAGTCGTCTTTAGTGAGTGTCATTAAACTCTCGTGGCTGCCTCACTGTCCTCAATCAATTCAAAACATTGACATTTTATGGTCATTTTGACTTTGGGAAAGAGACAAAAGTCACACAGTACCAGGTCCAGTGAATAAGGTGAATGAGATGTTTTTATTTGAAAGAAATTGCCATAAATTATTTGAATTGATTCAAGATTTCAAGGAAGTCAAAAAAAGATACTCACAAAAGCGAACTTTCAGAATTGCTTCAGAAGGTGGCAAGACCTACAGTACAAGTGTGTTGGCAGTGAGATGGGGGAGGATTCTGATGTGGATTAATGGCATGTGTTTTTTACTGTATTCTATTTTTTAATTTAAACATATACTGTCTTTTTTGACCACACATCCTGTGCTAACAGGGCACCAGACAGCTGGAATGTGCTCTTCTCACAGTGCTCACACAAACTGGAGATAGCCAAGTAGAATGCACAATGCTTCCAGGGCTTGCTGTCAACCTCTGATCATTGTCACTTCCACTCAGTCCCCTCCAGCCAACCCAAATGACTTGGTAAAGCTCAAGATCAGGGATGTGAGTGGCACATACTGTTGCCTTAGTTGCAGGTGTAGCTCACTACAAAAGATTTCTCAGATCCTCTCATCTTTCAATTCAATAAATTTCTTCAAGCATCTACTTTTTTTTTTTTTTTTTTTTTTTTTTGGTACCAGGGATAGGACTCAGGAACTTGCACTTGTGAGACAGGCAGCAGAACCACTGAGCTAAATCCCTACCCCACAAGCATCTACTTTTAAAAACCATTTCACAAATAAATAAGTCACACATGTGTAAATAGCGAACAGTTTCTCTGGTGTGAATCAACTATAATGGTACATAAGATCCTAATGAGATAACTGAAATTGTGAAATAGGAAGAAAAGGGCTAAGGTGTAGGGTAAGTGGGAAGGGTGGGGGAAAGGAAATAAGGGAAAAGAAAAAATATGAGAAAAGGAAAAAATGGAAATGAAGTGTTTGTAAAAGGGGAGGGGAGGAGGGGGCGAAGGGAGGGCAGGGACAAGGGGAAAAAATGAGAACCAAGACCTGTCATGTAAAGGTGCAAGATCCCAATGATGAACGTAACTGTACTGTATCCCTAAGATGTACCAATATACTCAATTTTAAAAATTAAAATAAATAAAATAAAAATAAAAATCATTTCACAAATGTGTTTGAGGTACATGGGCTTGGAGATTTCCCTACCAACAGGAAAAATGTTACTGTTTTCTAATAACTTGATACACATCATATTTAAGTGCCAGTTCTTTAGAAAATGTTTACCGGTGCTTCTCAGCCTGTCCATGGGAAACAATGATTTTTATTGTTTCAATGAGACATAAACCTATAACTTTATAAATTGCCAAGGCTGAACTTTTTGAAAAAATAAAAGAGATACAAAATTCAGCCTCATGTTTTCAGAAAAGTACTTGGCCACATGGTTATAAATGTTTCTAAACACTCTCAATTTCTGTAATTATCTTACTAAAAATAATAAATGAAATAACATCAGCTCATGCCCTGTACTTAAAGAAGCATTGTTGTAGGTGATTCAACAAAAACCAGATCCCCTTTACCCCAAAACCTTAGTGCCACTGAGTAAAATATTGTTCTGAACAAAAAACTAAATTGCTAAAGATTTGTAATTTAATTTAACTTGTACCCAAATTTACCTAACAATTTATTAATTCAATTTGCCAGGCATTTTTTGGGCCCCAGGATTCAATAATTCAGCTATTAAGTTAAAAAAAGAAAGAAAAGGGCCACGTCAAATAGCCATATGCTGCTTTATGATTTTTACTGTTTGTCTTGATTCTTATAGCAATGCTTTTCAGAGTTTTTGTCCCTGCTGTACACACACAAATTACCAAAATCTCCCCGGCCACATCCTGAGGCTACCTTAATTGACTGTTATCAAGCTGTGCTTTTTAAATGTTCCAGCATTTGATCTTTTTAAAATGTCCTGAGACTTAACTGATGTCAAACTGGCTGGTCTAATTTCCTGCTATGTCTTTAGATCTGTTTTTAAAAATAATTGGATGTTGAATTAAGAGATTTTCTTTCTTTCTCAAAAAAAAAAAATGAGTACTAAATTTAGTTAAGTTCTGATCCAAATAAATAAATATATCTATTTTGTCCTATTAATTTCCTATGCTTGGACTTGCTGTCTCTGAAGTCACACACTACCAACTAAAACTAAATGGGGTTTACAGAGGCCTAGAAGAGCAGCACTTTTTAGACTTTAAAGTATCTGGATGTCCTGGATACCAAGTCTGTGAATGGGATGTGATAAACATTGACTGGACAAAGAGTAGCATCCAGAATTCCTACAGGTGTTGAAAGGAAGATCAAAGAATGGTGAGATCACTCATGATGCTGAAAACCAGGACCTGCTTCCAGAAACATTCTCAAAACAAGGGGGACCATGGACAGCAAATGCTCAAAGCCAGAAACCCACCTTCTGTCCCTCTACTCCATGGAGAAGCATTCAAGACTTGAGACTAGTCTCCCGGTTACTCCTTGGTTTGTTTTCCTGATTAAAAATGGGTTAAATTCACAAATATTGAGCCATTCTTATTCTCTCTTGGAAATTCTTCCTGCATGAAAATGAGCATTTTATGATCAACATCTCCAGAACAAGAAATGTTTATCTAGAGCTATCTCTATGTAATGCCAACAAATCAACTGATTATTCAAGAAAAAATAAAATCAGACTATAGTTGAACTAAATTATCACTCGGTTCAGCGTGAAGAACTAATCCTACAGATAACTGAGACACAGTTTTTTGAGGACATTTGTTGCATTTCTTATGTGTTATTCTAGCAGCCTCACAGAGAAAACATTTAATTCACTTTTCTTCTTTCATGGAAACTTACATTGGTAGGAAATCAGGTAATTGCTAAGCAAATTACTAAAAGTCACTTGTATTTTTTAAAGATGTTTAAAATATTTAATCAAAAGGTATATGCAAAAGTGGAACTCACAGCAAAATAATTTTAAATGTTTTGTAAGGTCAAAGTGTCAATGGGCCAGTGATTTAGCTCAGTGCTTCCTCCGCCTGCCTGGCAAGCACAAAGTCCCATGTTCAATCCCCAGTACAAAAAAAAAAAAAAAATGTTAAGCAGTCACATTTGGTTTTCCGTTTTACTTAGACTGATAACTGCAAATACAAACTGCCCTCCTGAGATGATCATACTTGCTCCCAGGGATACAAGGAGATTCCAGAGGCTGGTCACCTGCCACAGCTTGTATTTCTGGCTCCTGGTTCATGAAAGAATGGTGCCCTTCTCACCTTAAATGAACCAGGAAAGCCTGGTTTAACTCTGCTTACTGAGTCTTCATGCTAGTTCCCACAGAAAAATTCAGAACTGGTATACCATGCTTTGAAGTATATCCTCCCATCCAGTTTTGTTGTTTCGCTGTTACAGAGGGGATCAAACTCAGGGCCTTGTGCTTGGAAGACACATCCAGGTTTAAGTATCATGTAAAAAAAAAAAAGGGAGTCCACATTTACAATATAAACAATAACCAGTTTAGTGTAATGGAACTATATATTAATTTGCGTATTTATATAAGTTGAGATTTCTACTCATAGAGTACATTTGTGAAAGCAGTGATCAATCTCAAAGAAAGAACCTCAATAAATTTGAGAATGTTCCTGTACTCATCTGGTTCAACCTCCGATAGCAAAATGGCACAGACTGGGTAGAGCAAACAATAGCAACTTATTTCTCACAGTTCTGGATGTTAAAGGTCCAAGAAATAAGGGTGGCTAGAGTAGGTTTCTTCTGAGATCTCTCCCTGGTTTGTAGATGATCGCCCCTCGTTACGCTCCCCCATGGTGCAGAGAGAATTCTGATCACTCTCCTCCTCCTTTCAGATTAGGACTCCACCTTAATGATGTCTCCAAACACAATTACAGTGGAAGTCAAGGCTGCAGCAAGTGAGTCGGGGGAGGCCACAGATGAGTCCATTACATTTAAATCATAAAAGAAGCGCGTCTAAACAGTGAGTCTGTGATAAGTGATATTAAGAAAACTTTGCTTCACTACCTAATGCTAAGGAGATTAAAATGAAATCACAAGACAGAAGGCAAAGTATTCATCACAACTAAGAGGATTAAGAAATTATGAAGAAAGGGAACAAAATGAGTAACATGAAGAAAATTAAAACACCTAAGCAGAGGAAAAAACCACAACATTTAAGTAAAAAGTAAAACAACATAGAAACGACACAAACAGAAAAGGGACAGCAAAAAAGAAACAGAATAGAGATAGACATATTTATATATTATAAAAAGTTAACATACATCAACTATTTAAGGGTGTTGCTAAGTTTTCATTAGAGAGATGCATAAAAGAGAAAATACAAATATGAGATAAACATGACAAAAGTATAACCTATTCATGAAAAAGCAATAATGAGTAACATTTTGCATCTAATCAGCAATTCAAGGAAACAAAAGCAGGGGAAGGAAAAATGTAGCCGGAGATTCAGCTCAGTGGTCTGCCACCTGCCTCACAACCTCAAGGACCGGAGTTCGATCCCCGGTACCAAAAAAAGTTTTTAAAAAATGTACTCTAAAACAATGCTAGAGACTATGAAAATAGTAAAAGTGTTATGAAAGCTTTGGAAAATACATGTCAAAAGCCTTAAAAATATTTTACATCAGTCAAACCCAGTAATTTAGTCTTAAGAATATACTGCTATTAAGATCATTAAAATTTTATATACTGATGTTCCTCACTTCTGAAGCAGGCACTTTTGGCTTCTTACCTACCCTTCCTGTAATGTTTATTTTTCTGAAGGGGACTACGGGATACCCAGATGTTTTAGTTAAATATTATTCCCAGTGTTTCTGTGAGTTTGTTCCTGAATGACAAGAACATTTCAATTGGTAGGCTGAGTCCAACAGATTACCCTCCACAATGTCAATGGGCCTCATCCAATCCCCTGGAGATCTGAATAGAAGAAGGTTCGCCTTCCTGGAGTAAGAGGGAATTCTCCTGCCTAATAATGTTCAAAAGAGAAAATTAGTTTTTCTCCTCCTTGTGGACTCGAACTGAAAGCAATTGCTTCCTGAATCTCACACCTACATACTTCCAATTAGAACACGACCACTGACTCTTCTGGTTGTCAGGCCTTTGGACCCTGGCTGGAACAAACCTCTCAGTTTTCTAGTGGCTCCTGCTTTCTGACACCCTGAGGATCTTGGGACCATCTGCCCCTGTAAACATGTGAGCCAATTCTTTATAATACAAACGCACATATATGCACACACTGTATACATCCTATTGGTCTCCTACTCTGAAGAACAAGAACCAATTCACCACCATTTCCAATTCATGTTTGCTAACTGCAATTCATTATGCTTTGATGGGGGACAAGGGAGAGGGATGTGCCCAGTGTCAGAGAAGAATAATGTCTGTCCATGGAAATCAGAACAACCTCGTCATTCTCCTCACAGCTGAATCATATGCAGATGTATCACCTGATTCTAGATATAAGAATCTAAGGTGAATTGTGATGGAAGCTCATGAGAAGGATGTTTTTCTCTCCAATAAAAGAGCCATGAAGTAGTCCTTTCTTTCTCCAATTCTACTCTCTTTGGATTGAAGTTTGCCCTGTAATGATGTGCTTGAACCAGTTGCAGCTATCTTGTGATCATGAGGAGAATCTTGTGAGAATCATAGAGTTGATTTAAATCTCAAGCATTATTGAGCAAATAGGCATTAACTTAAGATGTAAATAGCAAATACCCTTATAGATTATCTAATGAGGACTTCTCAATTTTAGATACAAATATCCGAATTTGCATCATTTTTTACTTCTCTTTTAATTTATTTATAATAGGGGAAGATCTGGAGTAATTATCTAAGCCATATGGGAATAGTAAAGCAAACCAGAATATATTACTTCAGTAGAAAATTATCTAGGCATTACAAAAGTTAAATACTAAAACCATGCAACAATATGGCAAAATATATCACAAATAAATCTGTTTATAAGATGTTATCACTTGCTTAAAGATGGTAAAATAGAAGTTAAAAATATATATGCATGTATAATGTTTATTGTAACAATGTAATAACATAGTGTTATGAATTGCACTGTATTACCAAAATACATTTTTAAAACAATCAAATACATACTTTGGTGCTATGAAAACATAATAATAATTGAATCAACTTCACATAGGTTGCTTTTGTGGAGAGATTGAATTGAATCTAAGAACAGAAAAATACATCTACATTTTTTAAATAAGCAAAATTTAAGTAAATATAATTAATGCGAACATTTATTCATTTTAAGTAATATATAAGTATATGCTATTCTTATTTTGTAATTTTATTAAATTGTAACTAAACTAACTACAATGCATATACAAGTTACATAAGCAAAGTTGTACCATTTTAATATAACTATGATGGAAAAAACAGTGATTTCATTTCCTAGAATGAATTCCTTTAAATATAAGCTAATATTTACAAAGTATCATTCAAGAGTGGTACAAGCCTTGTACTTGAAAAGGCACTGAGCTGATTGTTAAAGGATCCGTTTTCCAGCTCCTATTTTGTCATTAACTTTTGTGACTACAGTCATTAAGCCTCCTTTCATTGGACAAAACAGAAAATAACTCAACCTTAAAAGAAATGTACTCCACTACAAAGTTATAAGGGGCTCATGGAAACCCAGGGGCAAGAGAAGAGCTGAAGAAAGACTAAAGGAGAACTTAAAACATTTTCTGAACATGGCACTGTGCACCTTCTTTCTTATCTTCTCCTTCTTCCTTCCTGTGCATTTGTGCTTTTTTTCCCCTCTATTAGCCAGGCTTTCCTCACTTCCTTCAACCACACGGACTAAGCACACTCACTTTTACCTTGCATAGTCAGTGAGGTGGGGGGGGAGAAAGACAATGTACAGTTCACTTCAGTTCATCTGGCTTGCATGCTCATGGATGACCCAAGATACAGGCGTGTGGGATCATGGTCTATAAATGGCTGAACCACTGTGATTGGGAAGGAGATTAGGGAGGAATAATTCCCAAAACTAGAAGCTAAGCAAACATAATCTATACCAATCTAATATGTTACTTTTTCTATCTGAATCTCAGTTTTCTCATGTGAAAAATAGTAAATGGCAAGAAATTGGTATTTACTTTAAAATTTTAAAATATTGATTATCCCCTTAGTCAGTTTCATGTTGCTATAACAAAATCCTTGAGGCTGGGTGAGTTATAAAGAAAAGATGTTTGTTGAGATCTTAGTTTTGAGACCAGAAGTCCAAGATGGGGCAGCCGGATATCACTGGCCTCTAATGAGTGCCTTTGGGCTGCTTTATAACATGACTGAAGGGCCGGGGATTTAGCTCAATGATTCCGCTGCCTGCCTCGCAAGCACAAGGACCAGAGTTTGATCCCTGGTACCAAAAAAAAAAAAAAAAAAAAGCACGTGTATAACATGACTGATAATATCACCAAAAGGGATATGTATTCATGAAAGAAGTCACATGAAAAGAGAACAAGCAAGAGACCAGGGAGGGACTGGGCTGCTTTTTTATAACGATCCACTCTCTTGGAACTAATGTGCTTCTGTGAGATCTAACC